ATTATTATTATTATTATTATTATTATTATACATTGTACTCATGTGACCAATTTACATTCCACTATCATAGACTAAAATTTTGATGAAATAAAAATATTAAAAAGATCCTAAAATACCAATTTACAAGCTCACGCCATTATCACTTTCTAAAATTAGCGGACACACGCTTGGCTAGCGTTTAAGCGGCAGTCATCAATGAAATCTGCTTGCTAGGGAATTTTGTGGAAAGGTGTCCTGGACCCTCTTACGCATGTGTGTACCGACCTTAAAACCTCAAAAGAAAACAATGCTCTAATCCAAGTAATAGTAATATGATAACTTAAGGTTCTTCATTCTTTTCTGAGAGTTTCTCTGCTAGGCGTTTGAGGAAGCAGGTGCATTCGGCTCCCATCCCACCTTTTGTTCCAAAAACTAGGGGAGTGAAAGATCCCATTCTAACGTCTAGGACCCTCTGTTGGTACTTCCGCTTTTTCTCCTCCTACTGCTCGTTAAAGATGGTGGATGTTGCTTTTCCCTGGTTAGAGCGGTTTTCACTTGACTGTCGAAAGGGATTGGTTTTGGTTTTGGTTTTGGTTTTACTACGCCCTTTGGTTGGCTAGTGTATTTACTTTGGTTTTGGTTTTACGACAGTCAAGTGAAAACCGCTCTATACTTGGAGTTAACATGCGGTACTCTGACATTGATAAATGCTGTAACTCCATGAGACCAAAAGCCCCCTTTCCTCATGTCCAGTCTTGTCTCCGGGCTTGTTACCGTGCTTCTGAGGTTGAATCTCTCATTACATTACATTTTCCACAATCACGGTGATTGTAAATAGCACACCTTATCAATAAATGTTTCAGTCCGATTGGCCAATGAAAGGATTCCCCTCACCCATGTGCTCGGCTGCGAGGCCATGTCAGGCCAGAGGGGTTTTGTGGTCTTGAATTCTCTGCTTAGGGCTAGCTGTAGTCTCAAGCTGCCTTGTCATTTAGAGCCTTAAAGCTGCTAGAGATGGTCAATTTGAGAGTGTCTTTTTAATAGACTTTGTTAATCAGGAACCAAGAAGAGAGTCACTTTAGAAGGCTTATGGGTAAGAGCTGAGTTTCTGTAATACAATATTTACTTTATTTACTTCAAGTTAAGCTGTGGGCCTAGAGTTGCCAGCTGGTGCGGTTTTCATAAATTCAGCCAGATGATAATACATTCTCTAAAAAGATAGCACCATTATTATTCAGATCGTCTTTTCCAAGCCTTAGCCTGGTGAGACAGTCCCTTTTTTTTACATTTTAGACTCGAGAATACAGAAAGGCCAACAGAGTCTGCGGATCGCCAGGGAAAAAAACACAGACATGAGTCGACAGCGTTTTTATTTAGTTGCGAATTTTTGTTTTTTCCTATTTTGTTAGGTTACGTCAAATATGATTTTAATAAATAAATATGTAAAATATGATTAGGTAATAAGCCATTTCAAGAAAAGTCAAGAAATTGTTTTTTCAAAGTACACTGCGCTTAGAACGTCAGTGAGCATTTGGTGGTACGGGACCTCTGACAGAAAGTCTCATTGAAAAGCTCAAGATCTCATTATGGATTACGTCCATAGACTTGAAAGATCTTGAAACTAGACGCACATTACCATGCTTAACGGTTTTATTTCAGTTGGGATTGATCAAAAGCACTTAATATTATGTTTATTTTTTCATATTTTTGTCATAGGATAAGTGTGTTTGTGATCAAAACAAAACACAAATAATACTGGTTAGTTTGAAATAGGTATTAAAAGGGATAGAACTGCAAAGAATCCCTTCGTCAGTGTTATTCGAGCACATTCCATGCATCGAGAAAGAAAGAAAAAATTATACTCCATTCTCA